ACTGTGCTACACTTTTTCATGTATATTCCCCCTTAAGTCCATTCTTCCTACCCTACATTCTTTGTAATGGTGGTAGAGGAAGAGTGTGTGTTTCTTTTTTAATTTGACAGAGGGCATGAAAGCGTAGAGAAGTTAGTTACTTGCCTAAAGTTATATAGTTAGTATATTAAGGGAGAGCAAAGGAGATGGGCAGTGTACTTCCCATTGTTTCATAGCTGTTTATGTGTAGTTCGTGCATAAGAGTTCTTAAGGAGCTCTTCTGAGTCTAGAAATGGAGTTAAGCAAATTAAAAGGCAACCGAAACTACTCAAAATTTCAAATGATCTATTTTAAAAGCACACCTTTGTGATGTAGATAGACTTCTACATCCTGCCATATGCTTCTGTTCTACATTAATAGAAAGGATCTAGGTGGAACAAGTTCCAAGGAGAGTTCAGGGGTTCACCTCTACTTGGGAAGTGATGATGGCAGAAAAAGTTATTAGCAGTTAGTTCAGTGTACTCTGTCATTTGAATTAACCGATGGTCATACCTGTAGCACAAGCCAAAAGTCACAGAATCATAGCACTGGATCCCAACCACTCGAGTAGTTCTTTATTAGAATTTCACCTTTTTTCTCTTCCCTTCTCTTTGCCCATTTTGAACTCAGAAGAACTCAGAAGGATTTACATCCTACAGTAGTTACAGATACCTGGGTTTGAATACAGGCGCTATTACTTACTATCTGTGTGATCTTGAGTTGTTTGCTTAACTTCTCTGTGCCAGAACTTGTTACATGCAAAAATAATAGCTCATATCCCCATAGGATTGCAACAGTGATTAAATGAGTTAATTCATATAAAGAGTAGCTGGCATGTAGAATGGACTCAGTACATGTTAGCTGTTTATTGTTAAAAGTAGTTATAATAATACAAATATTATCACTACCACCGCTACTACTACAATACTTACTCCAGCTCTTTTGGTCAAAGTTGCACTACCTGTAATTCAGCTTATTTTAGAAAGAATTGAAGATGACTTGTCCATTACTTGCCTTCCCTTCCTATCAGTTGGGATAAGGGACAGAGGAGAATGAGGCCTGTGTACAAAGCATGAGGCGCAACCCTTTCTTGATTCCCCTGACTGGGATGCCTTAGCAGCTGGGGAAGCGGTTCTCCTGACTGGATTTAGCCCAGGGCATTCCAGGCTGACTCAGTGTTGGAAAACTAGCGGCATTCTAATCTATTGAACTAGATTCAGAGGTTAATTTTAGCCAGCCTGAGGACAACATATAAAAGAGGTGGGGGGAAACCCAGAAAACTTTCCTGGTTCACCTTCAGATTTTTCAAGATTGATTCCTGTGGAAAATTAGTAACACAAATGTGGGCATGGAGAGAATAATCTTCATTCTTTTAAGATTTAGGTAGGAAACAACTAGGAACAGATTGCTCTAAAAGGTATTTACTGCCCTGAGATTTAATGTGATGTGCATTTCTGTCTTAGCTTTTTTGTTTTGTTTTGTTTTAACTTCTGAGAAGTTCTTAGCTTCCAGGAACTATAGCTGGAATACCTCACAGTATCTGGCATGGTTCCAGACATGCAGTTAATACGGGACTAAATAAATGTGCAGTTAAACAATTAAACAGAACTTCCTCTCGGGTGGTCTTTAATGCCTTGTTCCTTCCTCTCTCGACCTGCAGGTATCTCAGATGAAGACATTATCAACATTACTCTTCCTACTGGCGTCCCCATCCTCCTGGAACTGGATGGGAACCTGCATGCTGTTGGGCCTCACCAGTTCCTGGGTGACCAGGAGGCCATCCAGGCAGCCATTAAGAAAGTAGACGATCAAGGAAAAGTGAAAAAAGCTGAAAAATAAAGTCTTTCCCAAGTACTGGCTAGGAATAGCTGCAAAAAGAAGTGAAGTGGCATGAAGTGTGTTATAGCTCCTTTCTCTCTCCCTCCCTCCTCCTTCCTCCCTCCCTCCCTTCCTCCCTCTCTCTCTCCCTTCCTCCCTCCCTCCCGATTCTTCCTTATTTTTTCCTGAGTTGGGCTATGGGGTAAAGTTTGTATAGGTATGCTTGAGTGCTTATGTCATAAGCCTTATGGATTAGCTCTCCTGCTAGCCCTATTTGAATTGGTCAATAAACTAGTAACTAGTGGGGCTTAATCAATGTCCTAAGTTTCTGTGATGGCAGAGTGATAAGTAGAGGTAAAGTTTAAGGTAGTCATCACTCAGCAAATCATTTAAGTCACCACTGACAGGTACTACTTACTCCAATAAGTAGTTCACTTTTATATTTACTAAGATTTTCTGGGATGACAGGAAAAGATGATAGGAAAGAATACACTATACTTAAGTATTTATTACTAGTCTTTTTCTCTAGGAAAAGGGATGCTTTGATAAGTAAGACAGGAGGCCCATTAAATGGGAAAGCCACAGACAGTTTCCTCTAAGACAGCCAACAACGAACAGCAAGGAAGGCCCTTTGCCTTGTCTGGCCCAGAGGCGCCCTTTGTTTGACGTTTGGTGGAATGCCTCTTCGGCAGCTGGAATTAGCAGCACGTAGGCAACTGTAGCTCGTGTTCTCTTTTTGTTCTGTTTTGTTTTTTGAATCTTAATCCTTGGGTACTTAAAATTGGTTTAAAAATAAAGTTCTGTGACCAAAAGTGATATCCCTAAGCATCTCTACATGATTTGTAAATATTAGATAAAGGCCTCTGAACTGGTCTTCGGCTCGTATCTGCCTGGAACACTCAAAGAGTTGCATTTTTTCAACTGATAGACACTCCCAATTCTCTATAAATTGAAAGTTGGGGTCAGGGGCAAGGTATATAGTGGGTATAATTTTATTCGCATGAGCAGGGGAAGTGATATATGGCAGCTTGTCATAGACAGTTGTTCATCTGCTGAGGGCAGAAGATTATAGTATGTAGCACAGAGTGACCAAGGTGGACCATGGATAGAACTGATTGCCTATCAATCTTAATGATACTGTTTTCCATAGTATAGATAGCGTGGGTATGTAACTAATGATTTCTTTAAGCTATTGCCTTATTTTAAAACAAGTAGCATGTTTCCATAATGAAGTCATATAAAAATTTTGCAGCTGTAATAGCTGTTAACAGATTTTTTTTATTTTATTTTTTTATTTTAGATATTTAGCTTTTTTTTTTATGGCTTTCCATTGGTGGATTAGCTTATTTGTATACATTTTATAGTAAAACTGGCATTAGACGGAAACTAATTCTAAAACCCTGGCTACTGCTTGGTTTCCACGTAATCCTTAAATCAAGACTCGTAGAGTGGCTGATAAAAGAGATGAACCTGGTTTGCTCGCAGCTGGCCACATCTATGGTACATGAGGTCTTGGAATGAGGACGCTTTAAGTTTCTGACCAACTACTGGTTACTCTAGTCCTTTTTAATCCTGTTGCTTAACCACATGGCCCTGTTTAGAATTCAGAGATCAGTGTCAACTACCTACTAGATGTTCCTAGAATTCCAATTCCATGGTTAGGCTGCAACTCAGTCCATTTCTGAACAGCTTCATCTCTGGAATTGGCCTCCGAATTTCCTATCCCCAGTGGTGACCATATCTTAACGCAAGATGCGAGAATTGGAATCTTCCTTTGTCCCACATGTAGATGTCCACTTCCAAGGTCCCCCTGGCACACGATGTACTTCTGCACACAGAGCTATTCTCACACCCTGTCACTTTGGAGTCTTGCAGGCTTCCTAAGGTAGGAATAATTTTTGGATACTTCCTGTTATAATTTTGTTCTATTGTTTTTGAGATCTTGGCTGAAATAAATGAAGAGACATTCATGAAAACGTCACGTAGAATTATTTTTAACAACTCCAGCACTTCAACTTTAGACTGCCAAGCGAACCTGTTTACTTTGCATGGTTTACAAAGTATTCATAATTTTTGATGTAGGAATCTTGAAGGCTGCCTAACTCACATCTTAATCTTGACATCCTCCTGTTCTATGTCAAGCTAGGACTGAAAAAAAAAAAATTGAGGATTTTTAAAAGTTTTATTTTAAAGAAATGTAGTCAGAAATTTAGTCCTTGGAGAGAGTAGCTCATCCTGCTGCCAGGTTGGGCTTTCCCTGAAGCCAACTGTACATGTTTTCTCTGCCCAGGCTGAAATGATTGTCCCAGTGAGGGTCCACTGTGGTAAGATGAGGGCAGTCGCAGGATGCTGCTCCTCGAGTTTTAATTTTTAAGTATCTGAGATGAGTATCGTACCCAGTATACTGAGAATTTGTTTTTCTCCAAGAGCAGAAGTTCTGCCTCAGAAAATGAGGTTCTTGCATCATCTAGTACTAACTCGAGCACTGAATTAACAAAGCATCCTTGGTTGAAATACTTTATGTCATGCATTTTTTCCTTGGTAAGATGTGCAAGGAAGATTTCTTAATGTGATTTGGCTGTTGCAAAGTTCAACCAGATTCTTTTGCCCCAAATTTGCAGATTATTTCTCATCTTACATTATGACCATTTTTATTAAAATGCAGTTAGTACATATGTGTGTGTGTATCTATCTGTCTGTCTATCTATCTATCTATCTATCTATCTATCTATCTATCTATCTATCTATCAATGGCAGTGCTTGTCTTCTAGCCTGAGAAGCCTCCCCCATACTCTGTAGCTTTGGGGGTAAAAATGCTTTTTTTGGTCAGTATGTGAACCAGTTAAAGCCAATCGCCATTGGGGAGCAATTGGCCGCCTTGGTGGCCAAAAGCAGAAATCTTCCTGGTCATATTGCCACCACCAGGAAAGAGAGATGTCAGAGGTCAGGTATCTTCCCCCATTTCTGTTGTATATAGTTCTTATATTCCCAGTCTCTTACTGTTTTTAACAAAATGAGGTAGGGGAAACGTTAACTAGATAGACATTACAGTGTCACTTTTAATTCATTCTTACGCTTTTACAAGAGGTAAGTCTCTTCAAAGTTCAACTTCCCTCTTACCCTTTCATATTTTCTTCCCTCAGATATACATCAAAATTGCCTCAGTGTTACAGACCCTGATCATGTTTCCTGTTTTTGTGTTTTGCATAATTGGGTTTTTGCAAGTTTTGGTCTCACTTTTATAACAGCGTTAATTTTGTTAGATCATGCGTTGACTCACAGCAGATCTAGCGGTGGCAGATGCTGTGTTAGGCTGTAGCCTGAGGCTTTTCACATTGGACCATGAGGGGAATTTAAACCGCTGATTCCAAGGGGAATAGAAACATCCAAAATAAAAGAATATTTTAATCCTTCAGTATCCCTCTAATGACAGAGTTATTTGGCAAAATGATAGGATTAAAGTTTTCTCACAATTGGTAAATTTTTATTTATTGGAGGATAGTCTAGCTATGTAGTTTAGTTTTTAAGACACTGGGACCTTAACTTGCCAAAAAAATATAACTTCCTTTGACAATTTTTTTAAAGGTAAGCTATCTCTTCATTCTCTTCCCCCTATCCCACAGGATTATTTAGAAACAAATGCCAAACATCAAACAGGATAGATTTTGAAAAGGAAAATGACTTAAATAGTCTTCGATGAGTTAAAATAGAAGCCATCAGTCATCCGTTCTGAACTTTGTCCTCTTTGTTACTCTTAGAGGAACCAAATGGCAGCCATTGCTAAGTTGTTCAGTTTGAGTCATGACTTGTATGTAGTCAGTATTAGCTCTGGTTGTTGTTTAGAGGATTGTTAGTCTGTTAATGTGGGGCTTCTGCAGGATAATGTGGAATGATTTGGCGACCGATGTTAAATTCAAGTGTTTAAAGATGAAACTGTTCCTGAGACTATTTTAAATACGTAAACCTGAAACAATTTTGTAGCTTTAAAAAATGATCAGATTCATTGATGTTCTTGTGAATCAGGTTACTCACTGTGGAAGAAGGGAGATAGGAAATGGAGGGAGTTAAAGAAGAACCCTGTTTTATCGGTTTTGAACTGGAGGGCATATATATATATGTATATGTGTGTGTGTGTGTGTGTGTGTGTGTGTGTGTGTGTGTTCCTCTTCCCAATACCTCCCCTCCCTTCCCCACCAGCTATGCCCAGGTCTGGCTCTGTCTTCCAATAGGTCTTAGCAGTGATAACCTAGCAGTGATAACCTAGTAATAATGAGCACACGTAGTTCCCTTGATCTTGCTTTCTAAATACTGTGCCATAAAAACTAGGGATGTTGGTTGGTTCCAGGTTTGGGGCGGATAAAGTATAACGTGAGCTTAGAACATCTTAAGTCTGAAAAAAGAAAATACCCAAAGACTGATGGGACACAAAAATTGGCTTCAAGTGCCAAATTTGGAACAACTTGAGATTAAAGAAAAGAAGGATAATAATGGATTATAGAACATTTGTCTTAGTCTGCTCAGGCTGCTATAACAAAATACCAAAGGCTAGGTGGCTTAAACAGCAAACATAATTTCTCATAGTTCTAGAGACTGGGAAGTCCAAGATCAAGGTGTTGGTAGATTTGGTGCCTGATGAGGACCCTTTCTGTTGAGGCAGTTTTGATATAGACACCTTATTGCTGTATCCTCACATGACTGAGAAAGAGGGAGGGACTCTGGTCTCTTTCCGCTATTAGGGCACTAATCTCATCATGAGGGATCCAACCTCATTGACCTCATCTACACCTGATTACCTCCCAAAGGCCCCACCTCCAAATTTCATCACACTTGGGCTTAGGGCTTCAATATTTGAACCTTACTTAGCTATTTTAAGGAAAAGTTGTGAAGGACATTCTGGGGGCTGAAGAATTTAAGGGTGAGTGAGGTGTCGTGATGTCTGCAACTTACATTCAAATGGTTCAGCCAACACAATGTTTCCATATATTTAAAAGTAGCAAATATAGTAAATGTAACTGATGAATTGAAGAAAGAGTTTGTGATGTATTAGTGTACTATTCTTCCAGCTTT